TATTATTACTAGGTTCTAGAAATTAAAAAGGAAAAGGTAAATTCTATACTTATTTTTAAAAAGCTTAACTATAAGCTTAAGCTAAAGAAAAAAGAGAAATAAAAGCTAATAATAGTAATAAGAAGAGTTAGTTTAAGGAATTTACTAAGTAAAAAGCCTACTTAAAAGTAAAATAAAAAAAATAAAAAACTTATAAAAAAAAAAGAAAAAAAAGTATTAACTAGTAGTAATATTAAAAGAAAATTCTTATTTTAAAATTACTTCCTTTTATATAATTATATAAAGAAAAAAGGCCTAGTATAGTTATTTAGAAAGATAAGGTACTAGTATATAGCTACTATATATAGTAATAAGTCTTTAACCTTACTAATATATAGTAACTTTTTTAGTATAAAAATAGCCTTAATTTAAATACTATTAAAGCTACCTAGCTATATTTAAAAAGAAAAATAATAAAAAAAGGTATACTTTAAAGTAAATATAAAGCTATTTATAGGTAAAAGGTAGCTTAATTAGTAATATTATAAGAAAAGATTTAAGTATAGATTAAATAGATACCTTATTATATAGGAAAAATTATTAAGCTAAAAAGAGGAAATAAGTATAAGAAAGGTAAGGATTATTTAGTAGGAAATTAACTTATTTAAAAGTACTAATTTACTTTTAATAGTACTAGTAATTTTAGCGTAGGATAAAACTTTTAGTAGGGACCTCCGTACTAAGGTTTATATAGTAGGTTATTACGTATCATTTTTCTGCCTCTCGGCGAACGCTTATTAACTGAATAATATCTTTCATTTTCGCTATGGTTAAGTAGAAAGGAATGAAACTAATGTGCATGCCATATACTTGAACATCAAGTGTTGATCTGAATGCAAGAACAGCATGATCCTCCAGCGTTGTGCGGCATGATTTGTACAAGTTGACACCACTGCCAATAACACGTACAGGCCATTGATGAAGATGATCATAGTTAGTTACCCGCTCAGATGGATGTAACATATTCGTGTAACTTGTTGTCTTCTATTAATCTATTCCACCCTTGATCAGGTTGCACCCAGCGCTCCATCCCACGATGAAACGTCTAACGAATAATGACCGTCTATCTATGCCGTATGCTTCGTTCACATCGTGTAGTTCTTGCCATCCGTTTCCTTGTTCCGTGGCCGACCTACTATCTACGCCAAACTCTTCTCCCTCAGTATACTGCTCAGCTCTTTGAGCTTAACAGGCTTAGAGAGAAACACATCAACACCACTTGCATAAGCATCTTGCTGGGCACTCGCTGATGCCAAACCTGTCAGGGCAAGAATGACAACGGGTTCCCGACCCTCCTTGTTCTCCAAAGCCCGTATCTGCTTTGTAGCCTCAATACCGTCCATTCGTGGCATACTGATGTCCATCAAGATGCAACTGAATTCATCTGGGTTCCTCTGGAACAGTTCCACAGCTTCAAGTCCATCTGCTGCCGTAATATACTTGCGCTTAAGCTTCTTCATGTACGCACACAACACCGAGATATTAATAGGATTATCATCGACAAGGAGGAAACTCTTAGGTTCGCTCGCCGCAGTCGACCCCTGTTGTTGTGTCGCTTGGGAAGGGCGCTTTGACGGAGCTCGTGATGGAGGACCAGGGCGTTTTAGTGACGCCACTCCTGGACTTGGTGTCGATTTATCTTCAGGGGCACCTCCTTCTGTATTGTTCCCAGTCGAGCACCTTTTGGCATCATCTGATGCATAATCCAAATGCTCTTCATCTTCACCTACTGGCACAGCTGGCGATAACGCTTGTAAGTCCCCCCACCTCCATAACGCTATGCGAAGAATTCGAGCAAGTTTGTGTGGGCCAATACTGGAACTGCAAGTTAGCAAGATGAAGTATTTACAGGTTTACGGGCTTGGAATATACTTACGGTTGAGAAACAAATTCATAAACTCGTTGGTCCTCAGATGTCTTGCTCTCGGAAGATCGCTTATGTGCCGTAATGGCATTGGCGCACACCACAACCACGGGACACCTAACGAGCTCTTCGCTACTTAGCACCGGGTCCCCAATCGCCATCTCATTGCATAGAACAAGATCCGGAGCCACGTCCTGGCATCCAGCTTCGTTGATAACATCCATCTCCAGCCATCGATGGCACATTACTTTCATTGCAGACAAGGGAATGCCCTGACCCGTTTTCGACTTGATATCCTCCTCGGAAGGGAAACCGACCAGTCGCAGACGCAATCCTTTTAGGCGCTTGGTCTCGTCATCAACTTCATTCTTCTCTTGCCCTGGACTTGAACTGTCTGAGTCTTTCGACCGTGATAAGGGCAATGTTATGGTTGCTGTGGTCCCGACGTTGACTTCACTCTCGATCGATATCTTGCCGCCCATTGATGCCACGGTCTTCTTGACCAGACTTAGGCCTAAACCGGTACCGTCTGAAAGATGGTTTTCCTGAGAGAATGGTTTGAAGAGCTCGTTTCGAAGAAAGTCTGGGGATATTCCTTGGCCAGTATCTGTGACCGAAATGCGAACCAAGCGTCTGTGACTACTTGGGTTATTCGAGGACAGGGGTTTTTGAGATAGGGCAACCGTGATTGTGCCTTTGTGTGTGTATTTGAGTGCATTTCCAAAAAGGTTCATCACAACACGGCGGAGTGCTCCTGCGGTAACATGGAAGCGATACGGCACATAAGGGTCAATATCAAGAAAGATGGCCACCTGACCATCGTGTCCGAGCGGCACTTCGTACTTGACTGGGTCTTCAGATTGACCACCCGTCAGATCATTCTCATCCTCCGTATTCACGAGCTTGCTTGGATTTGCGGTTTGCCAAGCTTTATGGGCTTCATTACCCTTGAAAACATGGCCAGCGAAAACACTGTCCATGACCTCCTCAACTAGGGCGTCCAGCCTAACCTCAGAGGTCGAAACACTCGCGGGAACCGTCGTGGCAGGGTCTGAAACAACAGATCGTTTTCGAGCTCGACGCTCCTTCTTTCGATGAGCTGCAACTTGGTTGACTTTTGAGAAATATAAAAGATGATCAATGGTCTCGGATAGTGTTCGGCCACATGTCTCAAGGGTTCGCAGTAGGTTTCCCTGGAAAACATCCAGCTGAGTATCGGACAACAACTCGGCTGAGAGCATGACTCCGTGAAGAGGAGTACGCAGTTCGTGAGATAATGAGCCAAGCACATCGGATTGAGCCTTGTTCACGAGCAAGGCCTCGAGTCGTTGGGCTTCTGACATGGCCAGCATGCCAAATCCTCGCAGGTAACTCAACTCGCCCTCGATCGTAAATGTCCTCGTGGGTGTCCGAGTATATGCGAAACCTCCCGCTAACCAACGGTCTCTTTTGGGATCCCAAACAGGCACAAAGGCCACACTTCGAGCACCAGGGAAGATCTTGGAAACTGACGGTCCTTCTAAAGATCGTGACCAAGGACGCTGAGTTTTACCAGATAGCGCCGCAGTTGACCCTTGACCAAAATATTCTTCCTTAGGCATCGGTGTACAAAGGTCGACCTCAGACGAACCACTTGATAAGAGGCTACCATCCTCGTCAAAATTAAAGATTTTACCAGCAGGATACCGCCGCAAGAGCGCAGCTAGCAACTTCATTGGCATGGTTGTGTGGATATCAGAACCTACATCCAAATTGATGCTTGATGAAGTTGAAGTAGCGAACCCTAAAATTCCGCAGCAAGACTTTTCCTGCTCGATCCTATCACTTGACTCATCGCTACTTGATGATGACTCGGTCGAAGACTGGCCCTCGTGAAGCATTGAATCGGTAGCCGACGTCTCGAAATTCGCGTCCAGGAAGACGACGCCTTCGATCTCTATTCCTTCTCGTATGAGATTGGCTGCCCGAGAGAATATCTTGGCAATTTCCTTCTCCTTGGCATTAGCATCGGATTCTCGAACAGACATACTCTTCGATGAAGTGCTGGTCATCTTCACCTCCCCGGTAATAGCGGTGGTTTCTCCTGTCGTATTCAGTTGCACTGGTACGTGAACCGGCAGTGTTTCCTGAATATTGATGTCTCTGAACTGCTGTAGGGCCTGCTGTTCAGAATTTAGATTTCCTTCCCGTGTCACATCGTCGTGGAAGGCCGGAGAATTTGTTCGAGCTCTCCAACCCGCCATGGACGACTCCTTCTCGACAAACGAACCAATTCCCCTTGTCATGCGGACACTTCTTCGATAAGCATCTCCCACACTCTTGGATCGAAGGTAGTCCATGATATTAGAGGAGATTTCTCGTAGAACCTGAGTGTCATTGGTGGTCCAGCTCTCGACTTCTCTCGGCTCGGAGTCTACGACGCAATAAACACCAATGTCAACACCAGCAGGTGATCGCACAGGGACAGCAGCATAAAACCGGGCAGGAAATTCTGATAGCGGATGCTGTATCTTGCAGAGTCTCGCATCGGCTTTAAGATCCGGTATCAGAGTAAGAGGCAGTTCCTTATCAGAGGAGGAAGAGTCGCGATTTTGTGCCATAAGAGCCCGATCGCAAACCGAGAGCTGTCGTGGAAATGTCCCTGGATATAGCCAGAAGTCTCCATTTCTGTCTTTTGGCCGGATGGGGCTCTTGGCAAGAGATGATCGTTGTGTAGTCTCGGCGACAATATATTGGTGATTCCGATCGAACAGAGATATCAAGGCGCGGTCAGTGCCTGTTTTCCAGAGTCCAAGTTGTGCAAGAGATGCAAGAACAGTGTCTCTCGGAGTTTCTTGTCGTTTTATCTCGTCGCTGGGTACAGTTCCGTTGGCTGAGCTGACCGGGGGCGAGCCTTCAGTGGGCGAGTCTGTAATATCGTTTAGCAGCGACGCTCCATACCTAACTTTGTTAGTGATCAAGAAATCATACGGGTGAAATTCGCTTCTGTGAATATGAAGAGAATGCAACTAACTTGAAGGATTCTCTTTCGCGAGCTGGCTCTGAGGCCTGTTTAGGTGAGCATGAGGCCATCGTGGAGCCCTTGGCTTGGTCGACACCGCACCAACCAGCTTGAGGGAATTCGTAGAAATGCGCTGGTTGAAAAGGGAAAATGATTGAAAATTGTTCCCAGGTGAAAAGCTCAGTCCGCATTCAAGGAACGTGGTCTCGATCTTGGGTGGCGATCGCAAGTTGGACGAGGTCGAGGTTGTGCAATTACAAGCAAGTAAGAAGGCGAAATATGTCTTAAAATCCCTCTACAATCGCTTCAAGTACGTCTTTTGCTTCTATATTCTTTCACCAGTATAATTCTTCAAGCCATATGTGGTATCAATCGAATCCTGGACCATTAAATCAATGAGTTAGTGAATGATAAGAGGACTGGTCGAGTTGATTTACCGCAAACAGGTGCCGTTGTCGCAACTGATTGGTCATGCTCCGTTCTCGGTAAATTTCAAGGTCTCGAGCGGTCGAGATTCCAGTTCCCTATGTATTTGCTGAAGCTCCGTTCATGGTGGCGATGGAAGGGGAAGAAGATGGTGAGTGGATGGTGTTGTTTGGCCGCTGAAGATCGAAGCGACCGCGGGGTATGAATGGGAAACTCACGACACGTACCTTCCTAGGTATTCTTAGCTCTCCATTTTCTCTCACTTGATTCATGGCAATTCTGTCTCCTCTAGTTAGACCCCTACAAACAGAGAGATGCCTTACCCTTCAGGAGCGTTGATCCCTGCATGATCCATCCTCTTGATACTGGATACCTACCTAGGGGAGGAAAGAATACTCAGGACCTTGATCCCAAGTGACAAAATGACTTAGGTAACTTAGGATAAATTTAGGGTAACTTTACTAAGTTTAGGATATCCTTTGCTTAGATTATTTTTGATACCCTATATCCAGGTCTAAGTTTTCTTGCCCCCCGAGGCCTACTCATTGCACTTGCTTGCAATATCTCGCCTATCCAAACTCAATGCCCAAATTTCCTTGATTCCTTGGAAATTTCGTCAGGCTTTACTATTATAGTGGATTCAAAGGGCAATCCTTGAACATCTGCCCCCGTTTAGTGGACAACCCCAGGTGAATAACGACAGTATGATGTAACCGGCTGCTGCGTTGTACCATATCATTTAAGAACACAACCATCGAAATTCGAAAAACAACTTGGTATAAGCTCCATGTGTCCTGTCCCTAAGCTAGTGCAGTACTGTCGATACGTTGCCATAGCCATCCATTGAATGCCATTATTTCCCAGGCCCTCCCGCCGCCTTACAACGCCATCCAATGCATCATCAGTCTAAGTGATCGACATGATTTCCCAAGATAGTGATAGACCTTAAGCGCCCTCTAAAAAATGGAGCCATGATTATGTATACATTTCATCTTCTTCCACCATACGTCCGAGAATCAAACTCTGTATGACGAGCTCGTCGCTCAAGACGCGAATATTTTCGATCCGAGGCTGAGTTGCGGTTGATCTTCGACGTTTCTTATTACCTGTTGTTTCTGTGGGCGCAAGAACAGCGTCGACGGTCCCTGTTCCTTTATCCAAATATAACCAGTCGAACGGAGTTCCAGCTTTCTGATGCTCTAACAACAGTTCCCTTGCTTGTTGTGTTGAGAACACTCGCGAAATCGATGGCCCAAGTACAGTCGCAAGGAAGATGTAAGGTTCTTTAGCCTCGTTCCGAGACTTCTTTGAGTCAATGACAACTAGGACACGCTGTCCGTCAAGGAGTCGCGGTCGCTGCTGGATGACCTCGGCCAGCTTTGCTTCAGTCGCCGAGTACGGTGCCAATATTCTTGACCGGATTGCATTGCCAAGCACAGTGGATGCACCTGCACAAAGAACATAGGGCTCCCAATCGACAATAACGCCCTTGTTGACACATGTCGTTATCCATTGAGGGGCTAAGCAGGGGAGCCCCAGCGCCAGAGCCTGCATATATTTAACTTTGCGTGAGTGTTTGTCTGCAATGAGTGCTGTGAACCCGCTCTCAGAAATCAGCTTGGTGAGTTGCAATGAGTCCTGCTCATCCATCACAGGATCGGTCGCATTCATAATGGATGAATGTTCAAACATGTCTTGGAACCCTTCAGCAAGAATCGTACCTCCTGACTGTGTGATTTTCGTCGATAATTTCTTACGTTCTTGTGCTTTGAACTGGTCTGAGAAAGAAATGGCAAAGACCATGCCCTCGAACAGTCGTCCTACTCGGTGGGACTGGGCAAAGCTTTGCTTGAAGGATCTACTAGATTTAGAATGCACCATGCTCCTTTCAAGCACACTTGCAGCTGGCGAGAGATGTAGCTCATCAGTAGAATCCGAATCCAGATATGAAAATCGCTTAGATACTCTTGCTGCTCTTTTGGCTGGCTGAGGTGACCCAGTCTTGGATCCTTTTCCAGCCTCGTCCTTAAGGCAATCGCGACTACGTCTCGGAGACGGCAGAGTGACTGATTCTGGCCTTTCAGAACCTGGGGAGTCTTGTGTCCCGGGTGTTGTTTTGTCAGAAGGCAAAGGTGTTGTTGAAAGGATACTCAAACTCGACGATGTCGGCGGTATCTGACCTACTGAGCGACTGGCCAATGGGGTCACCGGGGCTGTATCTGCTCGATCGCTCCTACGCGAGCGAGTAGTCATCGGTGGTGGAAGATCCGCATAGACATCACGGGCAGGTTTCCTGGACCGCGATGCGGACTTCTTCTCGCTCTTATCTTCTGCTGCACGGGGCAGGGGTGATTCCTCCTCTGGCTCTTCTTCGATCATCGAAACCGCAACCACATTTTGTAGGGGCGATGATATAGGCGTAGGTTTCGGGTCCAAATCACTCATCAGCCCGTCCGAGAAAGAGGAACTGAGAAATGGGTTTCTACGCTTTTGCCGAGCTGCACGACCGTAAGTCCTAGTCGTCCGCTTCCGTGCTGGTGGCAAAGATGAAGGCTCCGAATGCTCATTAGGGCCTTGTGGCAAGCCCTCTTCTTCATTCCGCAGCTGTGGTAGCTCAGGCTCAGATGGCGGCGGTTGTTCAACGGGTGCTGTAGGTGGGAGAGAAGGCGCTGGACTGGTTGCAGGTATCATGTCATCGTCTACAACGACCTTGTCCGCATCGGCCAAGACTATGTCTCCATCATGATCGATCTGCGGATCATGAGGAGCACTGTTCCCTGGAGTGGCCTTAGTTGATGTCACAGGGAGAGTCTCGTTAGAAGCCACCAGCCCTTTTTGGGAGTCATCTACGAGAGGGGGCAGTTCTTGCCCCTTACCCCTGTCAGTTTTGGGAGACGGCTTGAGGGTTGTTTCGGTCTCTTCAAGCGGCAAAACCCTTCTCTTCTTCCTCGATGGCTGCTCTGCTGGATTTCGCCTGATCTTGGGTGTAAAGCTAACGCGGCCCATTTCCTCTGCAGCCTTTGCCTTTTTCCGCTCGATCTTCTTTCGTCTCTCCAACCGTCGGATAGCATCGTCGGAGTCATCGTCGGAATCCCAGGGAGGAATTACCAAGTTTTCAATACTCTTCCTTTCCTGAGACTTCTTCATTGGCTCGTAATGTGACATTGGCTCAGTGGTGTTCGACGATCGGGGGACTTTGGCTCGCGGTGTGGGATCAGTGGATGGGGGTGATTCTGGAATCATTTCACCAGCTGTAGATTGGTCGTTCACGGGCGTTGCCGCTCTAATAGGTCCCCCATCTAGATCTTGTAATGATGCTTCGGGGATGTCATGGAGACGGCGTTGAGGACTCGAGGTTCGAATATCGGATGGCGACGAGACATTGGCGCGGTTCTTCAAAGGAGATGTCTCAATGATGTTTGGCGATATAGAGTTGAAGAGTTTCGGAGAAGGTCGTGAAGATGTTGGACTAATATGTTTGATGGCTGAAGAAAACTGCGTCTGGCCGAATAATTGACTACCGGCCAGAGGCGCGGCGATGCTAGGTCTCGCAGCAAATGGGTTCTTGGGTACAGCAGGCGTCTCGAAGGTAGGAGCGTGAGGACGGTGCGGGGTTTGACCGTTATTCAATTGTGAGGTCCCGTCAGGATGTCTCCAGTCACCTCTAGTATTGTCGAAACCTGCATCCTCTGATATTTGAGACGAAGGCCGGCCCAGCTCGCTCATGTTCGCAAAATTCACGGCTCCTGTATCATCATCCTGAAGGGTTCGAGGTTCGTGAGAGGCGAGTTGGGTATCGCCATTGATGGGGCTCGAAGGTACAATATCACAGTATTCGCTGTAATCACGATCATCGTTCACCTGCGTCGGGGTCTGTTGAGAATAGTCCATTTTGCGCAAGGCGGCAGTGACAGCACTGGCCGGCGGCTTGAGACACTTGATTAGAGGCTTGGGTGCATTGTCTTGCACTGATTGCGACTGCGGGCTGTCATGGCGCGCGGATAAGTTGGCAAGGTATTTTGACCTGACGAATGTAGCTGGCACCCGAACGCTCAAATTCACGTTGCTGTTCGAACTGACGCGGTCTTGGAGGCCCTGTGCAACACCATTGACCATGTCTGCCTCGAGAGTTGCACATTGCTTTTTCGAATGTGTCAGTGCCACCCTGGTCGTGTCCCAGTGCGGCGGATCGTCATTCTCGGTAGTGGCCCCCCCTGAACGCGCTTTGTCCGATAACGTGTCGTGGTAAACAGCAGTAGCTGGTACTGCTAAATCGATGACTGTCGGGTCGGATGATGGAACAACTACTTCGCTCGTAGGTGAAGGGATCTGTTTTGGGCTTGTCGTGCTTATTTTCGACGATGGAACGTATCTGGGAGGCGAACTACTGAGCTGTTTGAGGCATGCAAGTGTTAGTGCACCTTGATCGTGAGGATGCAAACCCCAGTGCAGAGGTAATTTAGCTACACTGGTTACGTACCGTGCCTACACCAAACTCAGCCCTGTAGGCCTCGAAAATGGGCTGGCTATCCTGCGTCTCATTGCTGCCTGCCTGAGCAAGCATCTGCGAGTCTGTCATGGTGGCGGGTCGTGCATCTTCCAGGGTGAAAGCAGACGCGAGCAGGCGACTTGTAGAAGGTGAGAA